GTCGAATGGCGATGGAGCCGAGATTTCGTCCGCAGGTCTCCTTTATCCGTACGTTAAGATTTCGTCCGCAAGCCTCTTTTTTGTCCATTTCAAAATAGGTCCTACTTTTGGAAAGTGAAAAGTCCTGAGTCTTATTTTAGCCTTTATTTCATGCTTTATTCAAGTAACAAGGATGATTGAATGAGCCGATTACTCAAGGGGGCTGCGTTTAAACGATCATTTTTTTTTACAGAAAAACTCGCCTTATATTAATATCATTAGAAACGGGATCGTTACATCAAACGCACAAAGACCACTAACAACAACTATCCTCCACCCACAACGAAAGTCAACCCTACGAATAGACATAGAAACGGTCACCCCCGAAGGAGCAACACGAATCGCTAGACGTGTATCGAGTTTAAACCAATTATAATTAACCAAAAAGATCCCCAAAAATCTAACAACATAATACTTAGCTGAACTCCTCATCCCCTTACCTAAACAAGCAACCACGACTTCAAGTACGAAACTGACAACAAAACAAAACACAAGAAAAGGAAGGAAAAAAAAACTTTGGACTGAATATAACGAGTAATAACTAATAAAACATTCTTCCAAACCCTACTCGTGCAAGTCTTCCATGGCGGCGGTTCGGGAGGGGGACGAAGCTTCCTCACGTCATCTTCTTCCTTCACCACCTGAGACGACCTGATCACGCGTGCCAATCCCTCAACCACCTTATTGGCTTTCAATTTCGCCCCTTCCATAAAATGCCAAACCACCGATGTTCCACCCGGATCAAACACAAATGGTGTAGCATTCATCCCAAACATCAACAAAACCAAATTTACCAAAACAAGCATATGGCGTTTAAACGATCATTAGGCATCACTAAAGGTAAATTAGAAGAGGGGGGGGGGGGGCTCTATAGTCTATATAGAAATATAGAATCACCCTTTTCCCATACCAACTGACCCAATGCCTAAAACTACCGAAAAGGCTACAAGGACCTAAGAGCATCCCAATGGGATGTCTACTTTCTTTACACACTCTTACACATGGCCCCATTTTTTATCTCACAAATTTTATGTGTAGGACCTACATATCTTCACATTTATTTTATTTTTCATTTTTCTATATCACTTTTAACCCACTTTTCATCCACATTCACTCATCGATTCCCGTGTAAAGTCTATTTGTGGACATTGTCATAGACATTCTCTACAATTTACTCATATCTCTCTCTTCCTTTTCATTTCTCATACACACCACTTTCTCCATATTAAATTAAAATAATCATTCTATCTCTATCTCTCTCCTATGCGACGTAGGATAGACATTACTCACATCCACTATCCCATTGGGATGCTCTAAGCCTTCGACATCGACGAACCGCGAACGCCAAGGAAGAAGGAGCGCCGACGCTGACCGCCGACCGCAGACCGCCGACTCTGACCGCCGACGCTTGGCCGCCTGCCTCCCTACCCCTTCAGCCTTCTCGGATTCTCGCCAATCTCGGATTTTCAGATCTCAGTCCTGCCTTCTGGTGCAGACCGTTTTTTCGTCCGTGCAGTGGTGCGTCGTGAGGCTTCAGTCTTCAGTGCGGACTCACCGGACTGCCTCACCGCTTCAGCCTTCAGGGCTCCTGGATTCAGGTACTCCTCCCGTCCTCTGCCGTCTTTCCTTATTTCATAATCACCTAATGGCTTTACATTTACATGTTTTGGAGTTTTAGACTTTTTCATTTATTGATTAATATGATTATTTGATTAGTTTATTAATTGATTTGATTCACAGTTCATTGTGTGATTTCTTAAATGTTGATTATTATGTATTGAGTGTTGGACCGTTGGTGTTATAATTTGTTGATTTTATTAGGTAAAAATTGTCAACTATAATTAAATTTATAAATTTAATTAATATCAAGTGCTAAACATTTCTCATTTTCTCATTTTTCAATTTTGAAATTATTCTAGTCGAGCTTAGCAATAACAGAATTCTTGTACAGCCATGGAGGTGGAAGATGAAGTGGTTGGTTCTCTGGAGAAATCAGAGCTATCTAGGAAGTCTAAGAAACGGAAGGAGAAGATCAATGATATTGCAGCTGGCAATCCTATTCATAGTGTGAAGGATGTGGGAGCTAAGGGACATAAAAGCATTGAGAAGGAAAATTTGAAAAAAATGAAGCGTGATAACGATGGTGTTGAGAAAAGGAAGAAAACTGCAAGAGATGATGCAGGCACAACGCTTTCTGATGATACTTATGGAGTTGCCTCTATGAAAACAGAAAAGAGGAAAAGGAAGAAAGCTGCAACAGATGATGCAGGGGTAGTACTTTTTGATGATACCAATGGAGTTACTTTCAAGAAAACAGAAAAGAGGAAAAGAAAGAGGGGAGATGAAATTAGTGAAAAAAGGATTCAAGAGAACAACAGGAAAGATGAGCAGAAGGTAGGAACAGTGGCTGGTGATGACTATGAAAAGGTCAAAAAGAAGAAGAAAAAGAACAAGACTCAAAAGACGGAGGATGATTATGGATCTCATGAAGTGTCCCATGATGTGGGAGTTAAGGGACATAACATCATTGAGAAGGAAAATTTGAAAAAAATGAAGCGTGATAATGATGGTGTTGATAAAAGGAAGAAAACTGCAAGAGATGGTGCAGGCATAATGCTTTCTGATGATACTTATGGAGTTGCCTCTATGAAAACTGAAAAGAGGAAAAGGAAGAAAGCTGCAACAGATGATGCAGGGGTAGTACTTTCTGATGATACGAATGGAGTTACTTTCAAGAAAACAGAAAAGAGGAAAAGAAAGAGGGGAGATGAAATTAGTGAAAAAAGGATTCAAGAGAACAACAGGAAAGATGAGCAGCAGGTAGGAACAGTGACTGGTGATGACTATGAAAAGGTCAAAAAGAAGAAGAAAAAGAACAAGACTCAAAAGACGGAGGATGACTATGGATCTCATGAAGTGTCCCATGATAAAGATACTACACATGATATTTCTGTAGATGCTGGAGGTCACATGCATCAAGCTGAAACTAAGGCTTCTGAAAGTAATAGGAAAAATGAGGGCAGAGTGGACAAGGCCAAGAAGAAGAAGAAGAAGAACAAGAAAAAGAAGAGGGGTCATGATGTGGGATCATTAGATGGAGAAAGAGATAGTAATATTAATGGAAAACAGGTAAACCGTAATAGTTCTAAAGGAAAAAAACAGAAAAGTAGCAAGAAGAATGTGACCTTTTCCAGTGAGGTGGAGGTATTTCCTGCGTCTAATTTTTCTGAGGGCGGGAATGATCAAAATGAAGAAGTGCAGCTGGTTCGAGGTAAGCGGTTCTCTAAAGAAGAAGATAAGATAATAAAAAAAGCTGTTTATAACTATATTGAGATGCATGGTCTAGGGGAGGAAGGATTGGATATGGTGTTAAACAGTAAATCTTACCCTGAAGTAAGACACTGTTGGAAGGATATAGCAGCTGCCATACCTTATCGCCCTTTAGAAGCTGTGTATCATCGTACTCAAGTCCTATTCCGGAGGCTTGAAAACCACAAATGGAGCGAAGAAGAGAAGCAACTGGTACTAAAACATCAGAAATTAAAAGGGAATCAGTGGAGAGAACTCGCTGATGCACTCGGGTCACATAGGTTTCATGTGAAGGATTTATGGCGCAGAATACACTTGCCTAACCTGAAGAGAGGACACTGGTCTCAGGATGAGTACCAGAACTTGTTTGACTTAGTCAACAAAGATCTGCAATTGAGGATTTCTGAAGAAAAGAAATCTAAGCATGGTATGCTACGAGACAATGTGGCTTGGACCGCTATTAGTAATAAGTTATCCACACGCACTGATTCGGTTTGCTGTGTGAAGTGGTACGGCCAGCTGTCATCACCTATGGTGGCTGAAGGGATATGGGAGGACACTGATGATTTTCGTATGATCGATGCACTTTATAGAATGGATGCGACATGTGTGGATAATGTGGACTGGGATAATCTTCTGGAACATAGGCCTGGAGATATCTGTTTGAAGCGTTGGAGGCAAATGGTTCTTCACATTGGTAGCTATGCAAGCAAATCCTTTTCAGAACAAGTTGAAGTGCTAGCTAATAGGTACTGTCCTTCCCTAATTGAAGCAAGAGAGATTTGGGATAACAAGCCTGTTGTGTCCTGAGTGTGTCAACACCTTAATGTTATATACCATGAAAATCTTAATGAATATGTTTTGCATAAATGGCATTCCCACCGCTTGTTAGTTTTCCTTGACCATGAAAGATTCATGTTGTGTGTCATTTTTTTGTTGTTGATGGTTGTACTGTTTTGTTGCTCAGTTTCTGTTTATTTACGTTTTAAAGCACATTCATAGTTGGAAGTTAAAAACTCAAAATAGCTACAGCTTAACTTGGTAATATTTAATGCTATTCTAGCTTTTCTTGACACTAGATCAGTGGTTGATGGCTCTTATACATAATGCTTGATGGCCATTTAAGGATCATTTCGTGTGCCTGCCTACTTAGAATTTGTGACCCTTTGATGTTGAAGTTTGTGATATGATATTATGCTCCGTATCTTTATCTCTTTATACAAACTAATTAGGGTGAATGAGGGTAAGCCTATTTTAGGTATAAAAAATTTGTTGGTGTATAACTCTATAGCATTATGAAGTTGTTAATTATGATCAAGGTATTGTACTGTTAATGTTTTCTCCCTCTTATCCTTGTGGCTTCCAATAAATTGATATACAAAATTGGTTGCTCATGTGGACTAGAGGATTGTTATTTGAAAAAGTTTCCAAATTGACTTGACTAAAACTCTAAGGGTGTGTTTGGGAGTTTGAGGGTGAGAGAAGGGGAAGGCTTTGAGGGGGAGTAGAGGGAAGGGAAGGGGAGGGAGATGGAAATGGATTCCCTCCTCTTGTTTGGGAATTATAAATTCCAAAAGTGGAGGGTTTTGGAGGACATATATTTAAAATGACCCATGTACCCCTTTCTCATTGTATAAACATTATAGTACATTGAATGTTACATATATTTTTATTATTTAGATTAGATTACTAGTTGCTTTGATATTTTTCTTGAAAAATTGCTTCAATATTTACATATATAAATTATGAAGAGTATGGTAATATCAAATTCAAAATAAAAAATTATAAAATTTCCAAAAACGGTTTATTATTATATAATTCAGTGCACAAAATAAAAAAATTACGTATTTAATGAAAAAACAACTAGTAAGCTAATAAGTAAAAAAAAGAGTCAGAAAATGAAGTCATATTTTTTTAAAAAAACATCATAATGATTATTTAATTTTTTTTTTGAGAGAATAATAATTATTTAAATAAATAACAATATTTAAATTCACATTTCAATTTCACAAAAGCAAACAAAAAATTATTGTTTTTTTATTAAAAAAGTTTTTAATAATTGAAGTATAATATATCCAAAAACTTGCTATATACCCATACTTTTGACAAAAAATTAAACCAAAATGAAAAATAAATATACTACGTATAAAGGAACACAACTAACTTTAACCATCATAGGACAATAATATCTCAGCGTATTAAGTCTCACATTTTATTTCAAGTAAGTACTAGCAGTTATATTTATCTAGTACATTCCAATCAATAACATAAAAAGGTCAGAAGCTTGACTTTCACACGCCTTTGCCTTCACTGATATGGCCTGCATCAAAAAGAAAAATTGGTTAATATAATATTCAAAAGTTGCAAGTAATAATTAAATAAACAACAAAATTATTTAAGTAATAATTAAATAATTAAGTAATATTCAAATGGGTAGTATCATTTTGGGACACCCCAAAATGATAGTATCATTTTGGGACGGATGTAGTATCATTTTTAAAAGTTTCATCCTAAGCAACAATGGTTTTACATAGACGGAAAAAGTGCATCCTAAACTTGCTATTTCTAGATTTCTTCCAACAATTTTGCACTAACATATTTATAGTAAAAAACAAACACTTAACAATGCTAGGGACTGTTTTTTTTCATTAAAATTCTGATTGCTATTTTGTTTGCTCATCTCAAAATATGCAAACAAAATAAGGCCAATACATTTTAGACCAATACTGTTTTGATCCATGCTTCTTCAAAACCCAAAAAACTTTTTGAGGGCATTGGTTGTAATCACTAGCAATATAATTAAGAAAATGATGAATAAACACACAAAACAGCACTTCTGCGAGTGAAAATTTGGGTCACATAGTGAAAAGAAGAAACATCAGCTCCATAAAATACAGAGGAACTTGGACAAGATAAACAGTTTAATACCCAAAGTCCACCTTTTTCCATGATTCCATATCTTCCATTCATACCAATGTCACTTTCAACTTTTCAACTTGCAAGTCAAAATTTATATTAAATATTAAACTATAAAATAATAAACACTTTCAGTCATTCACAAAGAAAGATTGGGGAAAAAACACCCACTCCTTCACATTTCCTTCCCAAAAGTGAGAACGTGAAGAAAACATCTTCTTAACACCCCCCCCCCCCCCCCCCCCATCATCAATGGAAGGTCCATTATGGTCCCGACATAAGCAGTGATTATTTGAAAATAAAATACGTTCCTGAAGGATGGACAGTCTGGTTGTTCAATTATTAAATAAGGTCAGTCCAGAAGGATGTAAACAGACTATACTTATTAGCCAAAGCAAGAAAAACATATCAATGGATGTCGGTGGACTATACTTATAACCTCAGGTCAGTCCAGAAGGTCAGTGTACTTATAACAGACTATACTCATCAATTAATAGTATACTAAAAAATAAACTAAAGTACTTAAAAACATAATAAGATAACCTGGTAGTAGATGCCGGTGGACCAAACACCATTTCAACAAGCAACTCCTTCTGTTTGTGCTTGGGGCATCCAATGAGTCCTTTGATCATATCGGGATTGTTGAGAAGATATAGATATGCTCGGTTGATCAAATGATTTTCAATATGCAAATCCTCCAAAAGCTTCCAAAGCTCAACTTCAGAAATCGGAAGCTTTTGATGAGATTTTTCATAAGCTACCGTGCTCTCACGAAGCGCAGAAGTGCTGTCCTTAAAAGCTTCAGCAATCGTCATAAGTGCCGCTGTTATTCCTCCTTCTTCAACCTTATCCTTGGCTTTCTTTGACCGCTTGGACTTAGGTTCATCTCGGACATCTTGCACTCTGATCTGAGGTGATGTGACATCAACATCATTGACACCTTCTTGCACACTATCACTAGTCTCCACTGAATCTGCACCAAATGATTTATCCTTCCTAATATCCTCACTGGTTTCTGACATCCCTCCATATGCTCGGTCTTCTCCACATATGATCACCATCTTGTCGTAGTTCGCAATCGGTTTCCTCATCCACTCTTCAGCATCGGGATGAGCCTATTAAATAAAATTAAATGAAATAAGAGAACTTAGAATTTCATAATATGTAAAATAAACTGAAAAATAAAGTTAGTTAAATTTGAGAACTTTTTGGTTGTACCTCTACCAGTGTTTTCCAGACTTCAGGTTCAGCCAACCAACGTTTTGAGATTGGATCCCAAGCAAAGCCACTGAGATTTTTGAATAAATCATAACACTTGGTAAAATTTCTTTTCAATAACTTCCATCTCCCTTTCACCTTATCTTTCTTGAAAGGTCTTCCGAACTTATTTTGCAAGTCACTAGTGATTGACATGTAAGCCTTTGTGGTGAATGTCCCGCTCACTCTATTCCCTTCATTATGTTGTTGTAGGAATGAATTAACAAGTTCATTGTCCATATCTGTTGTCCATATCTCCCTGTCTATCGTGTACTTCTTTCCTGTTGCCTTCACACCCTTAGAACTGGCAATTGCAGCATCCATTTCCATCTCTATAAATCCATTATATTAGTTCTAAGAAAAACTTCAATAAGAACATATGATTTAAAATAAACTATGCATCAATGACAATCATTTAATTATCAATCAACAAGTCAAAATATCTTTCAAGTTTGAAACAACCTTAGAAGTTAGAACAATTCCAAGGTTCACTCCTAATTAAAAAAAAAAAACATCACGATGTGTAATCTGTCCACATAGAATTAGCTATAGCATTTCTCAAGTTCTCTCCTAGATGAGTATGTTCTTCAATCTCGTTGTGTTCCACATAACTCGAAATTTGAACTTCATTTTGATTGGTCATTTCTGCATCAACTTCAGCCATTAACTCCTCATCAGGATCCGCTACCATGAGATAATTGTGCAAAATGCATGATGCTATGATAATCCTATTTTGTGTCTTCACGTCATAGTGTGTTTCTCTTCCAGTCGCAATGATAGGAAATCTCTTCTTCCAAATACAAAAGCATCTCTCTATGGCATTACGCAAGGATGCATGTCGGTGGTTGAATAGTTCTTGAGCTGTTCGAGGTGGATTTCTTGAAGACCATTCCTTCAAGTGATAACGTGTTGATCTAAATGGTGTAATGAGTCCCTTTCTTAGCATAAACCCAGCATCAAGAAGGTAATATTTACCTATTAAAAAGTGTTATTAATAACGTTTATATATGAGCATGCGTATATTAACAATAAAAAAACTTTTAATTACCTTCTGGTATTTTCAAACAGCTTGTTCGACTTAATGCATCTTTCAAAATCCTTGAATCTGATGCAGTTCCTTCCCACCCGGCCAAAACGTAAGTAAACTGCAAGTCAAAAGAGCACGCAGCCAACACATTTTGTGTTGGGAATTCTTTCCTACCTCGGTATCTAGGAGCATCAGCTGATGGCACTCTTACACGAACATGGGTACAATCGATTGCCCCGACACAATCCTAAAATTGTGAATTTATTGTATTAATTATTTTTATCGGAAAATTATGTTTCTAAATTAAAAATTAAAATAATTTATACCTCAAAATAAGGATAAAATCGACTGCTCCCTAGTATTCTTGAAGGTATCTGTGAGCCATCCGGTTGTTTGAGATACTTTCCCTCTAGAGCAATAATTGCTTTAAGCACACGATGAAAATGGCGACTTATAGTTTCACCAGAACGTTGAAACCAAAACTGAACCACTTGACTTTTTATACCATGTGTTAGGATATGTAGAGTTTTTGCCACTTGTTCCTCTACACACACACGTTGTGTTGGCAAAAGACCACCCTCACTCTGTAACATGGCACATAGGTCCATAAAAGCTTTTGGACCCATTCTAATTATTTTACGACCCTCATTAGTATCAAGTTTTTTCATCGTTTTAATTAGTTCGTTCTTTCTCTCTCTCTGTGATTAGAGCATGACTTGGTCTTCTATTTCGAGCGCTTTTGGTTATGAAATAATAAACTACAATGCATACAACATAAATTGTAGCCATTTGCAGTCTTTGTATCTTTCTATGCAAATCCAATATGCGTGCATCATCCATCTATAAGAGGTAGAATTCTAATAATATGTTAGTAAAAATTGAAAGAGGGAAAATAGTCTTTTGTACTTTTATATTTTCTAACAAAAGTACATTGAAGAAGCAAAGATGTTTCCTATTATCACAAAAATACAATTAATGACTTACAATTTTTTCCTAAAAATTAATACTTGCCTAACAAAGATAATAAATCAAGGCTGTTTTCACTTTTTAGGTTGCTAATATAAAGTGATGGACTTGTTAGTCATGTTCCAAATAAAATTTTGAGCAACAGAGAAGTTGCAAATACTCACTGGTTGTAAGTCACTAAAATTAGAAGTAAAGAACTCAGGTAGTCATGCATATATGTGTATAGCCACTAACATTTGAAGTGGAAAAGGTGTGGAAGTCATCTTTCTGACAACAAGTTTACCTGTCAAATTTTCACCTTGATCTTTGGCTCAAATCGAAAGTTACAAATAAATGCCTTAATCAGTCAGTTTTATCTAAGCTTCATTCACAAATAAAAGAATGGAGATATATTTCTATATATTTTTATGAAGAGGGTTGAGTTTTTTCAGACTCAATTACCCTGATATTTGCTCAAAGATAGTTTTTAAGGAAAGGTTCAAGATTTGAAAGTTTCAAATAAGTCCCTTATTCAGTCAAGTTTCAAGATTTGAGTTTAAAGAAAGTAAAAATATTTTTAAAACTATATAAAAAGAGTACTCATCTCAAAGTTTGACCATCAAAAAGTGAAAAGGCACAAGTCTTGATGCAAAAAGTGAACTGAGTTATCTTATACTCAGTATGTTATAGACTTTTGCAGTTGCTGCACTTCTTCATGCCATCTCATATTTGCAGACACAATTTTGTAAACCTATATATCTGGTTGGCAAAATATACTTTGACAGAAGAACAAAGTTATCTTATACTCCATATGTAATAGACTTTTGCAATTGAATACTTGATTGGTTGAAATGAATTAGGAAAAATTGTTGTCTAGTATTTCTGAAATGCATTTGCATAAAACAAAAGTATTTCTGAAATGGTGTATGACATTCCAAATGCCTACTTAACTGCTTTCTAGTTTTTTTTACCAAAGAATCTCCTTAGCCAAAAAACAAAAATCTCACTCACTTTAAATGAGACTGGGGAGCATTACATTAGTTTGTTAAATATAGCTCAATTCGATCCTACAGAATCCAAAAACAAAACTAATGCACTCTATTTAATTTATAGCAGATGTCAAAAAAATTGGAGACCAGTTACTTTCAGTGGGGGGGGGGGGGGGTAGGCTGATTAAATCTTACTAGTTCTTCAAGATTGCAGCCAATTAAATCTGGAAAGTATAGATTGATTAATTAAGACATACATATACAATCGTGACTAAATATATCACCACCATTTTGGAAAAGAATTCTATCAGATAGTGGAATTTAATTTATTAAATAAGCCTGTAATTAATGATGGGTGAATAAACGCTTGCTCAAAAAATATCAAAAATCTCAAATCTAAATACCCAACAATGATTCCATGAAAATGAATAACAAATTGAAGAAAAAATCATACGAAGAAGCACATGACTAGCTAAATACCAGGTATAAAATCCATATCTCACAAAAAAACCAAAGAAAAATTGAATCAATATGAGGGAATGTGAAATACGATTGAGAGACAGAGAGGCCAAATGTTGAGCGGAGATAGAGTGAAGCAGATTACAACAAAATACGAAAAATGCTTGGCAAATAGAACATACCTGAGAATTTCGGTGAAGTAGTGAAGGTGTGGCGTCGATAGCAGAGGATCCACTTCAAGCAGCAAGGGTTCCTAGCGATTTGATCGAGCAGAGAAAAAGCTTCAAGCAGCAAGTGTTCCTAGCGATTTGATCGAGCAGAGAAAAAACTTCAGGTAGGGTTCCTAGCGGATACCATAGTTGGGAGAAGATTGTCGTTCGTAGAGCTGGGCTAGTTGCTTGATCGGTTGGTCCTTCGAAACCTCCCGATTTGGGGGAATTAGAAAAGTCGGTCTTAGAGGGGTTTAGGAGGATTTTAAAAAACCTTCAAAAACTTTCCTTGCATTTTAAAAAACACCCAAACGCAAAATGGGGGGTCATTGACCCTCATATCCCTTCCCCTCCCCCCCAAAATCTGACTCCCAATCACACCCTAAAAGAATTTAAGTGTACAATTTGATCCAATTGAACAATTCTCACTTCAATTCTGTTGTATCACTATAAAAGGTTTTTAACTATTTTTTGACTATTTGTTTCGACAAACATGCAATCTTTCGAAAAATGCATACAAGTCTTTACAATAATAACATTTTTGTAAATTTAAACATACGCAATAGACTAATGATCTGATCCAAGTCATCTAACCTAAGCATCAGCTGCCTATCGTGTCATTCGTGTGTGCACCTGAGTTTGGTGTGAAGGCTTCATCTGTTTTTTTCTGCTATGAAGATCCAATGGTGTCCACAATATCTGATGTGCAAGCGCGTTTGCGAACAATACCTCCGTTCCAGTAATCCAGTCATTGGCAATGGCGGAACTCTTCTGTTCCGAAGTGTTCATTTCAACTCCCAAAGTTTACAATAGAAGTGCAAAAATACATTTATAGAATTGATATAATAATTTGTTGTGTTATACTAATATAATACTTCTTCATAATACTTTACTTTTTTTCAGGTGATGTGTTTGGAAAACATGATATGCATGTACATTTTCGAGCTTGCATTGATCATTGACATAGTGATGTTTTTAACGGAAAAAGTCTAAAGTCGATTCGATATACAACCACGTATTTACTATGAACAACTCATACAACTCATACTTTACGTACGTAGTAATTAAGGTTCTATTACATCCTTCTAAAAACAACCCTATCATATTTAGAACAAAACCATTTCGCAAAAATTCTTACTGAAAATATTGTTCGCATATGAACAAATTATTCCATTCCTTAAAAACCTAACACTTGTTTGTTCAAAAGGAGGATTGATTGAGCTTCATCATGATCCCAGTACAAAGCTTCCCATTTAATTTTCAGCTGTTGGGGCCAACTTTTGGGGAGATTTCCAAGGTAGTCTTTAGTCTTGGACTCTTGGTTATTACATATCTCTTCCTTTTCAACGATATTTCTTGCAACACAACATGGGGTCCTCATGACAAGGCACACATAAGCCTGGCTACCTCAATTTGAGGTGGTTCTCGGTGATATTTTTGGCTCAAATTTTTTGTGTATATTCCTCATCAAGTCTAGTTCATCCATACCTAATTTGAGCAAAAAATTTCTATCGGGAAGGCCATCAAATGATTTTTGAAAGATAACTGCGTTTTATATGTATATTCCGGAGCAGTTAACTTGCAAAAATCATTTGACGGCCTTCCCGATTGAATGCTTTGCTCAAATTTGGTATGGATGAACTAGACTTGATGAAGAACATACAAAAAAAATCAGCAAAAAATACCATCGGGAATCACCTCAAC